AAAATTGCGAAAACGAGTTCAAACCACTTCTATACTGAGGAAGAAAACTGCGACTAGACTAGATACCATATCATCTTTTCATTCATATCTGCGAGGCTTGTTGTCGTCCAAGCTTCTCACGTCCATTATATCTCTACTCAAAACTTGTCTCTTAGTTTTGGCGCTAAGTTTATATGTAGAAGCACGTGAGAATCTGACAATAAAATCACTTTTTAGTAATTTACAATTGATAAGCTAAGTTAATAGTTTTGCTTAACCTAAGATTCCTGATGAAAATCTTATCTAATTGCACCTGGTACCGGTGATGGGGATTATTACGTTTCCATAAACCCACTTATAGCGACACACTCTTAGGCGATATTGGAAGAAACGAGAGCACAGAATTGTGTGAATAAGTGGATTGGCCATAAGAAGTGGGGTTGAGATAAAGAGTTGCGACACTAAAAGGAAGAACGAAAAATAGCAGAGAGGAGTGATGCCACAACAGTTGATCAGAAAATTGGCCTTCACTTATCATTTTGCTCATTTTTAATTATGTGCTTACGATGGCGCCTCTCACTGAAGATGCCGACAACGATGCCAACCAAACGTTTGGGAATGTACCCAGCCAATGGTCCAATTCTGGAGGACACGGGACTAAGTATGTTCCACACAGCCTCCCTGACGCTCCGGCCATGTTGCGAAAGCAAGGTCAAACCAACGCTATGAAGTTAAAGGAGACTGCCACCAAACAGAAGACCGCGCCATCTTGTTCTTCATATCCATTGTCAAATTGTGTTGATCTAAATAATTTCGCCTATTAAAGGCAGAGGGAGGGATTCGTAAGTGGGCTTTTACGAAAATCTAAAAAGGATTAATCTGAAGTTCTGTTACTCAATTTGTTAAGCATCTCACGATCTCGATAATTCCATTATGAGCTTTCATTGGTCCCGCTGTGAAAAACATCGTCAAAGCCGGAAAGGATTATTTACGAAAAAATCCCCAATGGACACAACAAAAAATGGTGTTGGGCCTCTGTCCTATCTAATCTATACAGCCTAACCTTGTTCAATGAGTGATGATAAATGTATAAGAAAAAAAGTGGGGTTTCGAGGAATCTCTTGGTTCATAATTGTTGGGCTTATTTCCATTTCGAGTAGAAGTGTTTGGTGAAGAGATTCGAAGGTCGGTTCCACCAGAAGACGATGGCGAATTCCTCTTGACCAGCTGTCGATTGGACTGCGGATTCCTCTTGACCAGCTGTCGATTGGCTTTACTGGAAGATTCATGCTGACGCTGTTTCCGAGGCAACGGTGGATTCCTCTTGACCAGCTGTCGATTGGCTTTACTGGAAGATTCATGCTGACGCTGTTTCCGAGGCAATCGCAGATTCCTCTTGACCAGCTGTCGATTGGCTTTACTGGAAGATTCATGCTGACGCTGTTTCCGAGGCAATCTGAGTCCTCTTGACCAGCTGTCGATTGGCTTTACTGGAACATTCATGCTGACGCTGTTTCCGAGGCAATCTCCTGCTTGACCAGCTGTCGATTGGCTTTACTGGAACATTCATGCTGACGCTGTTTCCGAGGCAATCTCCTTCGATTCCTGTGAAAAGGTGCTAAGCTTTCGTCCGTCATATGACGAACATCATCAGAGCAAGTTATCATCGTCACAACAGAACCCGTGCTGAGCTTGCGTCCGTCATATGACGGACATCATCAGAGCGAGGTAACATCGTCACAACAAAATTCTTTATATGACGGACGAAAGCTCAGCACGGGTTCGCCGGAATCGAAGGAGATTGCCTCGGAAACAGCGTCAGCATGAATCTTCCAGTAAAGCCAATCGAC